GTATTTCCATCAGGCTGCTCGATGGCAAATGCAGCCATCCAAAGAAGTGAAGAATGGAAGCGAAAGAGCAAAGCTGGACCATCCACTAAGCTGCTGCAATCAAGTGACCACAGCCAGGGAGAGAAGAGGGAGAACTCGAATGTGGCTGGCGGCGGCAGGGAGGAAAAGCAGTTTGGGAACCAGGAGAACAGAAATAAATAGTTAATGATGAATGCTGCGGGCTTTGTCTTGTGTGGTGAAGGGTTTTAAATGGGTCTTTTTACTATCACAGTAAACTTTAAAATAGCTGTGTATGATGAAAGGGCAGGTCTATAAAGGTAAGAGGTCACTCTAGGAGTTTGAAATCTCAGATTCTGTCACTATTGTCTGCTTCTACCAGCTGATCTCAACCCAACAAATCCTTCAGGTGGTAGCAGTAGTGAGCTCTTGTCCTCTGTTTCTGGACTAGCCCCCAGAAAAAGGACACGATACATGTGGCCAAGGAAATAGAGACACATGGGGATCACTTGCAGAATTGCCTGTTAATGCGGCTCTGTAGAGGAGCACGGCAGGGTACCGTGGACTAAGCAAGAGCCACATGTCTCCAAACTTGCAAATTCTTAGGATCCCAGAGACCTCTCTCCAGCTCCCAGAGCTTCCTCAGAGCTCCTAAGGAGCCGGATGGAATCTGGCTGCTCTTCCCCCACCTCAGCAGTCCAGAAGAAGCTGTTTGCAAACATGTCATGTGGCCTCTCCTGCCACACTCACACATGGGAGACTAATGCACTCACAGTCTGAGTGTCATGCATTCCTCTGGGCTGTGAAGCAGGAGGACTTGAGCTGCAATGGATCCTCCTTGTGCAACATCTCTACTGCCCTATCTGGTTTCCAGCCCACACGCAGCAGCTGAGGACTAAGGAGGAGGTGATGGACTTACCCCAAAGGTGGGTGTGGGAAGAAGCAGAGTGACAAGGTGATCAAAGAGCCATCCCATAGCATTCCTCCTAGAGTCACACCAACAACCATCTGTCTCCTTCCTGCCATAGCCGCAACCCCTAGGTTCCATGGTAGGATGACCATATTTCCCTATGCTGAATATGGGACACCTGGTAAAATTACTTGTATTCAAGCAAGCTCAATGGCAATCAATCAGAACTATGCAGTACAAATTAACATCATGTTAGCTGAGCCCGTTAAAAAGAAATACTGTATAGTTGGATTCTTTTTATTTACCTTATCTTTAAGGCTTTCGAGTTCACACGGGGAGGGGTGATACGCACCCCTCCGCCCCCCCCAACACACACACTCCCGTACTCCTCTCTCACACAGGGTGGATGACTGACCAACTGGACCCTTCTTTGCCAGTGTTCTCTGCCCTCCATGCCTGGCTGGACCCCTGGGATGAACCCACCTCTCCTGTTACCTGGCACCGTGTCTTCCCAAGGCAACATGTGAAGGGGGGCATGCAGGATCACATGCCCCACTTCCCATATTTCTGTCAGGGTTCACACCAGAATGTGGCCAGCAGCAGCCTTTCAGCTCTATGTGGAAGGGAAGGAACGGGAGCTGCTTCCAGCCACAGGGAAGGAGGAGGGGGGGAAGGGATGACCTGCCCTGTCATTGCAGAGCTCATCTCTGCTCCCCACACCCAAACCTGTGTGGCTGGAAGCAGCTTGTTCCTTCCTGCCTGCACGGTGTCGAAAGGCAGCTAACACCTCCAGGCTGCTGCTGACCACCGACATAACCCAGTTGCATTCTGTCCCTGGACTACAAAGCGGGCAGGAAGGGGTTAAGCATTAAGGATGCATTGTGCACCAGGGCCCAGGGAACCAGACTGCACGGGGCTTCAGCAAACCCTGTCAGAGAGGTGGCTCAGCAGAGGGTGGGGACAGAGCAGCCCTGTGCTCCCTGGGGGCAGGACCCAGGGCGGGGAGAGGGATGGGTGAAGAGGATGCTAATCCCCTGCCTGGGGGACTGCTGTGGAACCTGCAGGGTTGGGGCGGGAACAGGCTGGAAAATAGTTTCCCCCCCCTTGCCACTCCAGAGTTAGCTGAGGGGCGGAGCGGCTTCTCCGTGCCAGCGCTGTGCGGGGTTTTGGCACATGCAGGTCTCGACTCCTCCTGGCCAGTGCCCCAGGCTGGAGGGTCGTGGGCTTTCCCGGGGTGCTGTCCCAGCCAGAGGCAGTTGGGGAAGGAAGGAGCCTCCTGGCCAAGCTGTTAGTGAGCTGAGCGCTCTGCCCAGGGGCTGGTTCTCCATACAGTGCTGGGAGCGGGACGAGTCCCACTGGCGGGGGGCGAGAAGAATACAGAGGAACAGCAGGGGTGGGGGGCCAAAACAGGGAGAGGCCAGCAAGAGGGGGAGCACGTAAAGGGATAATGGGTGGGCAGCAGAGGTGACATGAAACCATCTGCTGCCTGGCGCCTTCCCACACAAAGCAGCTTCAGCAGCTCGCAGCCAGCACTAGCCGGAAACAGGACAGGGGATGGAGCCCTGCTGCTTGAGAACCAGCATGCAGCGGCGGCTGGGCTGACGGACCAGCAGGGAGAGCAGCCAGCCCTGCACGCTGCATCTTCGCCCTGCCATCAGCCTTCTACACCCCCACTCATCAGCGGCCACAGGACCCCCACTCACTGCGGGTGGGCGGGCGGTTGGTGAGCAGGGATCCAGCCAGCAACAGGATCTGCCAGTACTGATGGGGGGAGCAGGGGGGAAGAGAGACAGAAAATACAGGACAATTTGCCCGTTTTTAAGAAAACGTTGGGACACCTGCAGGAGGGCTTAAATACGAGACTGTCCCTTTAAATATAAGACATCTGGTCACCCTAGTGATAGAAACAATACAATATATATATCAGAAAATGTGAACTAGGGCCCACACTTGTTAATAGGAAAAGTAATCTAATAAAGGAGGCTTCCCCCAGGTCAGTTGCAGACTTGGCTGGCTTCCCAGGGACCAGGATCCAATATTTCACAGAAAACACCCCTCTTCAACACGATGGTTCTTCCATGAATGGATCCTAAGTGCCTTTCCCCAATCTGCATTATAATGAAACAGTCTTGTCTATTCAGAGACAGAACAATTCCATCTGTTATAATGGTCTTTTTTTTAAACCAGAGTGGCTTTGATTGTTTGCAGTTGCCTTTGATGGTTTTTCATTGACAGTTCTGTGATGGGGCAATGGTAGAGAACTGAGCCTTGCATTACCTCATGGGCTAATGGGGAGGGGTGGCAACTCCCTCCTGCATGAAACAAGTTACATCGCTACTGTATACAGACAACTACCCGAGGAAAGAAGTGATTAGACCAGAGGTCGGCAACCTTTCAGAAGTGGTGTGCCGAGTCTTCATTTATTCACTCTAATTTAAGGTTTCGCGTGCCGGTAATACATTTTAACGTTTTAGAAGGTCTCTTTCTATAAGTCTATAATATATAACTAAACTATTGTTTTATGTAAAGTAAATAAGGTTTTTAAAATGATTAAAAAGCTTCATTTAAAATTAAATTAAAATGCAGAGCCCCCCGGACTGGTGGCCAGGACCCGGGCAGTGTGAGTGCCACTGAAAATCAACTCGTGTGCTGCCTTCGGCACGCGTGCCTGGATTAGACTATCTCCTTAGCCAGGAGAGGGACAAGACCTATTGACTTGAAAGGAAATTTTCTGTGTTCTAAAGCCCTGAACAGAGAAATAAGCTCTCTGCCTATCCTTAAGAGGGGCCCAGAAGCAGAACAGAGTGCAGTGATGGCTGAGACTCCAGCCAGATGTAGGGACACTGAAGCAGATGTGGTGCACTGCCAAATCTATAACGGCCACCCCGGAGGGAAATGCCCAAGTAGAGAGTAAGAAAGCTGCTTGGGAGGTGACAAAGGTAACTACAGGATGGAGAGGGGACTTCTTCCTGCGGTCTGACTACTTAATCATCTGTGAAAATGCAAAAGACCCGACCTGGGTAGCGATCTTCATTAATCAACCAAAAAAAGTCAACTTTGAATTCTTATATAGCCTGAGTTGAAAAGTTCTGTATAATTGTTTAATGCAGTTTACATCATACAGAGTTCATCATTATGAACAATTCATGACAATGGAGTAACTCATCCATCTCATGAGAAATGTATAACATTGATTAAACATGTACAAACAGAAATGAATGACATACAGTCATTAAACCATATTGTGGTAGCAGTAGTTATGAAGTATGTTAAAGTGGTAATGTCAACTTAAAATCTAGTCAATTAAAAAAGTTAAAAATAGTTTCCAGGTACTACAGCTGCCCTTGTTTCCCTGGGCCAATTTCCTATTTAAATGTTACTGTTCCACCTGTTATGTGAAAATTGCAAACAAATGATCTGTTTCACCCGATGTCAGTTAAAGTGCTGACAAATACATAAAATGAACTGAAAAAAGAGAATTTTTTTCTCTATTAAAGTAATATTAGAGATTACATGTAGCGACTAGGTAAACAAATAGAATTCTTACATTGTTTCACTTTCTAAAGAGAGTCAATGTTTTTCTTAGCTTTTGCCCAACAAAATGTCTTTCCCATAAATTTTGTAATTTAGGTACATAAAACAAATTCTTTACATGTTTATAAACAACTATCTGCATAAGTTCTACACAAGGTGGTCTTCGGCAAATACAGTGTACTTCTTTGCACTGATAAAGGCTAAAATTCTAAAAGACAACTATGAAAACTTGCCATATTTGATCTTAAAAAAATGTTAAGATAGAGTAGGATTTTCAAAAGTTTTGTCTCTGTTCTCATGAAGTCAATGGTAAAACTCAATGGCTGTTTCAATGTGAGCTGCTAGGCTGCCACTGAGTGCTTTCAAAAATCTTACCCATAAATTTTTCCTGTTCATTTTTTTTAGAGATGTAAGTAGTAAAAAATTTTGCATTACATATTAGAACCAGAGACCTGACAATTTACATTCTTTATGTTTTAAAAAAAGAATTAAAACTGAAAGAGAACAAATGCTGAATACACATATATAAAAGTTTTTATGGTTAAGAAACAAAACAGAATTGTGATAAACATTTTTAATAATTACAAGGAGTAAAAGGTCATTCTAGAAATTAAACAGTTTTGAAGTGTATCCAAGACTGGAGTTTGAAATAAAGCTTTTGAACAGGTGCACTGTAAACATTCTTGATATTTACAAATCAAGTTTTTGAAAAAATACTAGATCACCTGAGTTTCTTAATCCAAATTTAGTCAATCTCTATACATGGAACAAAAGGTATGTGGGTGGTGGTGAAGAATGTGGTTTTCAGTGGTAACAAGGAACACATCATAGAGACTAGACAGTTGTGGAACAGTAACAAGAATGTCAAAAGCAGTCTGCAAGTTTCTTTCTTTCTTCAAATTGTTTGTCCACTACAAGTGAAAGAGCCTGAAGAAACACTGCCATTGTAACGTTAGGACACTGGAAGCGAAAAAGAAAAAATCTTTGTCAAATGTCTCAAAGAACAGTAGGTGGCATAATGCTCTACAGACAAAAATACCTGAGAGGAGAGAAAAAATTAGCTCCACGTTTATTAGCATTTTCCAAATGCTGTACAACAGCTATGGGATTCTGCACCAGTTAGCACAGGGGAACCTAGGCCAATCTGAGCAAATTCTTGGGTTTAATCAATATCATGACTGTAAATTCACCTCACCAAAATCCAACAAGCTATATTACTGTATGAAAATGTGACAGACCGCATCAAAACGTACAGAACTACTAAAGGAAATTAAATTACAAAGAAGCAATATTGATGTTGTGTCATGATATAGGAGTTACTGGCCACATCAATCCTGCCTTCGTAATTGCAAAATATGCAAATATGTAGTTTCTCTTAACCTCTTTTTAAATAATGAGGTAGCACAAAATGGTTGCAGTCCAGCCAGGAGCAGACCCAATGTAATTCAAATTAAGAGTTTTTTTGTTGTTTTTTTTAAATAGGCCCACTCAGGAGCTTCCGCCAAAGTGGCTTCCCAACACACCTAAATAAAAAGCAAAATAAAATAAACTTACTTGAATATAAAGTGCATGTGCTAGAAAAGGAAGTTTCCTCAGGACACGGCCACTAAGTCCTTCACTTTTCCTACAATGAAGCAGAGATGTGCATACTATTATTTTGCTAAATGCTAGATCTCCCTTCCAGAAATTAAGAGGTTTGCTTTTGGTGGTTCTGCCAGGAATCTCTCTACAGAGAAACTCAAATTATTGCTAGTTAGCACTATGTAGCACTGGGAGAGAAAATACAAATCTTTCATCCATTCTTTACCTGTTATGTCTGTAATAATCCTACAAAATATTTTACTTTCATGGGTATTACTTTTACAAATAAATAAATATATACACAGATATATATATATATACACACACACACAGGGAGCTATTCAAAAATGCCCAATTGACATACACCAAGAGGCTGTCATTTGTTAATGCTAATTTCTGTTACTGTCCCTATCATTTTATGGAATAACCCAGACAAGTCTACTGTGTTCTGAACACCATAGTTCACTGTTTGAAAGGGCAATATTCACTATATACTGGATATACTGTCGCTTTAAGGAAGACTTTTCTGACCCTTCTGCAAGGGTACACTTTCAAATTCTTTTACTGCTCTGATATTTTGTTTGAACTCTGTTAAGACCCCCACAAAAATCAGAAAAAAATTGCTCAGTGTGAAAACACCAATAATCTGCTTTTTATTATTCCACAGATTTTCACATTGTGGTAAAATCTGTCCCATTAGTCCTCTTAGCAAAAAAACAAATAAAAATCAAACCAAAGTAAATGCAAAAAACTATTCATCATCATCCTCTCCCACACCTCTGCCCATTTCTTAATTTGTGTTTCCAAAAGGTGACCTCCTGGTGAACTACTGCGATCTCTCAGCATCCTCAGATGCGATGAAAGCCAGAGCTGTTCATGCTGAATTGTGGCCACTACAGCCGTAGGCACACCTCACTAGCCCAAGGAGGGATTTGATGGGAATTTAAAAGAGCAAAGCAGGAGGCAGGGATGGCATAAGATCATGCAAATTCTTTTTATAAATTTTGAGATCCAGGAGGATAGAAACAAATGGTGCTTGCAAAAAAAATTCCCATGTTCACTGGTGAACACTGAAAAATTTTACAATTGACCACATTTGAGAATTTGCAACAACAATTAAGAAACTGGGAGGTTTCAGAACTCTAGCTGTTGCTAATATATCCAACTACTTTAGAAATAGTTCCACAAATTACTTTTACACACACACACACACACACACACACACACACACACACACACACTTGAGCAGAGTTGCTCACTTTGTACATAACATGGATGAATCAATAAATCTTAAAATCTTACCTTGCAATTTCTTTTAATACAAGACTCAGCCGTGACACATTATTTTCTACATAACCAATCATCTCTAACTCTCTGAGTGTCAGCAGCTGCTGTCGAGGATATATTATCTGACGCTAATAAAAAGAAAAATGATATTTGAAAGGCGCAACCGCAGTTCTATTCTGAAATGAGACTATGAAAATGGCAACTTCTTACTCAACAGTTTTGCTCTTTGTATGTTTTCAGAATAACTACTGACTCCAGTGACAAATACTGTATGTTTTACACTGCTACGAGAAGGACACTTCAAACAACTTTCCCTAACTAATCCTAGATCAACCCTTAATTTTAAACGATTTATAACTGCTTACAGATTTCAGCAGTAACATAGAACCAGAAAAGCAGAGTGTGTTACGGTTCATTTACCACACTGGCTGGCAGAGACAGATTGAGGAACTATTATGGGGGCTAAGGGTGGCATTTATACCCGTGGTCAGTGCAATGGGTCTGTATGTGCCCCTTGGTCTATAGATACGGCTTTAAAAAGTTGTGTGGCTGTGTGGACTACAGAGTGGCTCAGTAGAGGCGATCTCAAGAAGGAGAAATAAGATAACATTTGTATACTATTATTGTTAGCATTTATGCAGTTATTAAAATAGGACACCTAAGTTAAGAATCTTACTTGCAAAATTTTACCTTCATCAGTTCTTCCAAGCAAGAAAAATATATTCTGAATACTGCTGCAGCAGATGGAGGTCCAATATATTGCTTTATATCAGCCCTGTCTACAAAGGCTGTGTCAATTTTCTCTGTAATATTTGAAGTAGTCAAGATTACAACATTGGGATACCTTTAAAACACAGAAAAAAAGAGACATCATTTCTATCACTTACACGTAAGAATCATCCCTCCGGGGCATGGCAAAGTGACTGTTTCTCTTCTATGTCATGACTGTAAATTTGGTCCAGATCAGAAGTGGCCAACTTGTTACTGTTGGAGAGATGTTAAGTGAAATGATTTGGAGGTCTCAATTTATAGTGAACATATTCCACACAAAAGCACTTTTGTCAGCAATTTTTCTAGAGATCCCCTGAAAACTGAACTGTATGTTAGCCTGGAAAGGAACCTCTTCCAAAATAGCACTGAGGTATAGTCAGGTGGGATAAAGTTTGCACTGCTGCTGCCCATATTGTCTTGTGCTTGAGGTACAGGACTTTAGTTTCCAGTACTATCGAATCAAGCCTATTTTTATAAATACTAATTTCACTTGAAAAAAAAAATCAAATCTTTTTAATTTGCACTTTTTGTCTAGCATATATTCTGTTTTAGTCCAACGGTAATTACCCTAATTTGCCTCCACATTGAAGAATGAACTTTTAAAAAATTTAGAATTATGTAATATTTCAGTTAAAATTTTTACCAAAGAATTCCCACTTTCAGTGAATTTCTTAATAAAAATGTATTTAAATTTTTTTTATTTAGTTTTTAATTTGTTGGGTAAGGAAGACAGCTGCTTCCATGTACCACTCTCCTTCCACAGCCCAGCCAGAACTTCGAAAGCACAGGTAAGCTGAGGAAATATGGAACAGAGATATCTACCTTTACACAATTCTCAGCCTATTAATCCAAAACCCATTGACTAAATTATTTAGTTAATAGTGAAATAAGAAAATTAGCTACTGCATATTTTGTCCTTCTTTCTCATGAATTAGTGCAGATACCCCCCAAAACACTTTGAATTTTTTAAGAATTTAAAGTAATTAAGCACTCCTGAGTATGTTTTTAAGATGCCTTGCACATGTAAGACAGTGTAAGGCAGTAACAAAAAATGGATTATAATAGGCACTATATTATAATAATTAAAATTACTCAACTTCTCATGGATGCACACAAATGTAGAATTTGTGTTTTAAAATTTTGCATGTCTGTTTTTATTAAACCCAAGTAAAACATAATATTGAAATACTTCACTTGGCTAGCACACAATACAAACACTCAAGATGTTCTGCATTTCCATTCATTTTTTCCTTCAAATTTATTCATAAGCCCAAGGAAACAGACATTTCAAAAACAAATCTAAATGGGTAAGGTCAGAATTATTTAAATTAATGACCCTACCAAAAGGAAAGACTCTCCCTTCCACTCAAGCCACTGTGAGAAAAATCCTGCAGGTACTGATAGGGCTTGCTCCTTGACCTCAAGCTCAAAGTTGGACTGTGGCGGACCTAGGTAGAGGGCCCCCCCAACTAAGATTCAGTAGCAAATCAAGGTTGCCCTATTCCCAGATATACATCTAGGGACTGTCAGCATCCCAGGTTTTGAATCAGATTGTGGATAAGAATCAATCTCTACCATAGCAGGGCCCAAACCATAAAGGAATGTGAACCGACCCTGGGAACTAACTGAAAGCCAGTGCAATCAAAGCGTACTGGTGCAATATGCTCTATATGAGACAGGCTGCTAAATAAGCAGGCACTAGCAGACCTGCGAGTGGTCTCAAAAGCAATCTCAAAGAGATTACATTACAATAAACCAATGTATAGCTGGCAAAGGCAAGGATAAGTGTGGCAAAATCTAAATCAATCAGGAAAGGTCAACATCTCTTTGTCTTGCCAAAGAAATATTGAAAAAGCATTCTTGGCTATGGCTGTTCTTTAGATCTACAACCAGAAACGGGTATGGATCCAAAAATATGACCCGATGACTAAGCCTCAGAGCAAGAAAAAAAGCACTTTTCCTCAGTTAAAGCAGCAGTTGTCACCATCATCAAACAGAAGTTATTTCTCTTAACTTTAAAGCGTGGGTAGACAGTTAACTCCCATGACTCACTTAGGTATGTCCATCACAACTCCTCTTCTCAGTAGGCCTGGCTAGTTTCAAATTCAGCACAATTTAACTAGTCAAAGATTTTTGGATTAAGGTTCTAAATGAGAATTGCGTAAAGCCAGATACTGGAATCTGTAATCATTTATCTACATATGTTCAATATTTTTGAAATTAGACCCCAACTTGGAAATTCCTAGTGGCGATTTGCTGTGGTAATATGGCTACTATGAATGTTACCTTTTAATTTGATCTATTTGTGTCAATACAGCATTCACCACACGGATAGCATCTGAAGGCTCTGTGCCTGCTCGGAAAGCACTACGAGCTGCTGTGAGACTTTCAACCTGTCCCCAAAACAAACAAAAAGGTTAGAGTTAGAGAGCTAGTATAATGCACTTTGGTGATAAGGAGGTGGTGAAATGATCCAGGCAATACATTTTCAAATTGCTGGGAATCTACTCGGACATCGGTAGTTTCTCTGAAATTTTCTTTGTGGATAGGAACTTGTGCATGGGGAGGATGGTTGTTGACAGGAAGGTCTGGGTAGAATGTGGGAAAGGAGGCTGCGGAGATCACTGCTTTCAGGGAGATTGGATCAAGGAGGAAGGACATCAGAGAAATGTACTTAAGACATAGGTATTGCCATACTGAATGAGATCAGTAAGTCTGTCTAGTTAAGTATCCTGTCTGAATGGAGAGTACCAGACTGTTCCAAGGAAGGTGCAAGATGCACATTAAATGACGATCATGGAGTAATTTGGAATTTTATGTTTCTTCTTAATCCTGCTCAGTTAGTGGGTTAGTTGATGCTCTCAGGCACTTAGGTTTAAATTTTTAACCTCCCAACTATTTTTTTTAACCCTATTAAGCCATTCGTCTTAATTAAAGCTAAGATTTTAGCATGGATATTTTTAGTAAAAGTCATGGACAGGTCATGGGCAATAACAAAAATTCACAGAAGCCCGTGACCTGTCCCTTACTTTTAATACAAATATCCCTGACAAAATGTGGAGGGCGGAGGGTCCAGCACCTGCAGTGGCTGGGAGCTCTGGGGTCCCCGACACTGCGTACTGAAGCCCCCTCTCCTCCCCAACACACACAGCTCAGAGCTCCAGGAAGGAGTGGGAGGGCACCACCCGCAGCAGTTAGGATCTCCAGTGGATGGGGGGCACAGCTAGGCAACTGTGGGGGATCCCCTGCCACCTGCAGCAGCTGGGCGCTGCAGGGTCCCGCTGCTGTGGCTGGGAGCTGCAGGGTCCCCGTTTCCCAGCAGCTGGGAACTCCGGTGGACCCCCACCTTCCATTTCAGCTGGGAACTCTGGGGCTCCCTGCTGCACAGCGGCTGGGAGCTGCGGGGGCCCACTGCCAGCTGCAGCTGTGAGCTTCCCCGGGGCTGAAGCAGAAAATGTCATGGAGGTCTCTGGAAGTCACAGATTCCATGACTTCCGTGACCTCCCTGACATAATCGTAGCCTTAGTTTTACTGATACCTTGTGGCAGTGAATTCAACAGGTGCATTATGTGAGGAAGCATTTCTTTTTGACATTTTTAAATGTATTGCCTGTGTTTCATTGGATGTCCCCCTTATGTTTGGACTATGAGAAAACGTAAATAAGAGTCCCTGATGGACTCTACAGCATTCATTGTTTAATATGCCTCTATCATGAACCCTGTTATTCATCTCCTCCCTTAACTAAATGCTAATATTTTCAGTTCCCCATTACATGAAAGTCTCTCCATGTCTCTTATGTTTGTTTTGAATGCCTTTATTTCTGTTATTTTTGTGATGCGGGGACCAGAACTGAACAAGTATTTGAGGCATACAATCAATTTGTATAACGGCAAGATATTTCAAGATTATTTACTATCCAAGTTCTTATATATTTAACATTTTGCTTGCAATTTATCACCACTGTGCACTGAGCAGAAGTTTTCATTGAGTTGTCTACAACAATGCCTAGGTCTTTGCACTGAGTTATTAATGTAATTTAGAATCCATCAAAGTGCACAATCAGGGCTGTACAGAGGTTTTGGGGGACCTGGGATAAAATCTGAAAATAAGGCGGCCCCCCATCCTTCCAAAAAAAGTTACCTCTGAGAGGAGGGTGATTTGAAAGTGAGCCTGCCCTACACTCACCCCACAGTAGCTGCCCATGTCTTACTGGGCTGGGCCTGGCCCCACACTCCGGGTATCGTGATCCAGTGCAGCGGGTCATGGTAATACTAACGTTTGGCTTAGCTGCCCCTCCATCATGATGGATGGGTGGCTGGGCCAAACCAGAGTAGTGCTGTAACCCTTTGTGCAGGTCACAATGGCACTGTGGGGTCTCTCTCAAATGGGGCACCCAGGGCAAACTGTCCCTTTCACCCCTCACTCTGGGCAGCCTACTATACAATTAGTTCAATGTACTCCTTCAAATTTCTTCTACCTTGCATTAATATAGAAACATCAATGTAGACATCATGCTGCCCAATAATTTAGCATTTCAGAATGTAACATTAAAAGACAATCTGTCCTGAAAATCTAAGTTTTGACAGTGCAGTCCTGTCGAAATGCTCAAAGTGTGGGGCTCAATGTGGTTATTGGGACACAATGAAGGACTGGGATTTAGAGGGGCTGTCTAGCAAGGGAAGTGGATGGGACTATGCGGGCAGTCTTGGCTGCTGGAACCAGGTTTCTTGCCCTCTCGTTCCCCCGCTGCCACAGATGTAGCCCAACCAGCAGTTACTCTCCTCTGCTGGGGAGGCCAGTAGGGAGTGTGGAGCAGAAAACTGCACCCTGCAATAACTGATCCAGAACCTCCTGCTGACTGTTCAGCACAACCCCAGGGCACAGAGCCCATCTGGCTTCCCCTGCCAGACAGAACCTGCACCAGGGAAGCACACAGGACCACGCTGAAGGGCTGGAGCCAGGAGGGGGCTGTGTCTGGTGGGGGAGGGGGCCAGTACTCATGGGGCGCAGCCTTCCACTCTCCTCCTGATCCAAGCTCTGCAACACAGACCCATTTACTTCACCTGCACAGGTGAGGAGTGAAACAGGGAGGGAGCTGGATACCAGCAACTGCTGCAGGGAGCAAAAGGCTTCTTCAACTGCCATGTGGTCAGTACTTCTCTCCCCAAGGGTACTGAGCACCTGTCCTCTGACACCCCCATAAGTAATGGGCACACCCCCTCTCCCTCTGATTCTGACTGAGTTTCCTGGGCACTGTTAGAATACAAATAAGTAATTTGCCTGTCCCTCTACAATACCTCATTGTCTTCTCTAGCCTGGACTAGCAAATAACAACTGGGCATCCACAAACTTTTCCACCTCTCTGTTCACCACCTTGTGGCTAGACAGCCTCAACATCAATTGAAATATACCATCCTATCAAACATGTTTAGGCTAAACTAATGTAAATTTATTTATGAAGAAAATCTGAACTACGCCTTGTGTGTTAAATCTTCTGCCCTGAAGATCACTCATTAGTTAGTTAAACTCAGTTATTTTCTCCTCTGTATCTATTTTTGGCCACCCTGTTCTATTCTATAGCAACTCTTTATTTAGTCTTGGAAATGCAAGCATGAATGCCAATGGGGTATAATTGTCCAAAAATAGAATTAGTCCAAAATACCTGCAGAGATGATAATTACTGTCCCCAACCTTTGTCTCACAGCCTAGGGCATGTCTACACTACAAAATTTCATTACCGCAAGTTACATCAGCATAAAGCCACTGCAGTTAGTATATCTCCACTGTGCAGGCATACTGGACTCCTTGTATTTGCACTGTGTGTACTCACCAGGAGTGCTTGTTTCAATGCACAGTGCAGTGTACTATGGGTAGGTATCCCAGGATGCAACTCACCACCATCCAGCACACTGTCTTTTGGGGAGTGTCAGCAATGCATGGTGGGACAAAATGACTCATACAGGGGTGATTGGGACTGTGGGGTCAAGTTCCTATCATGCAACTTTTTCCACCACATAATGCCATCGCCTATTTTTAAAATCCCACGAACCAGTGAGAGACTTGTCACCGTCTGCCATCTCTGACAGAATCATAGAGCCTGCACAGCTCTGCATATTGCCATGATTGTTGCAAGCACAGGATCCTCCAGTATTTGCAGAGCAGCAAGAGTCGCGGGGAACATGACCATTTCCTGGAGGGCAGACTGCTTTGGGACATAGTGAGAACCAAGTCAAGGTTGTTGTTGGAGTCCAAAGAACAGCTGCAGATGGTGGAGACCCATTTCTGGGCCCGAGAAATGAGCACTGACTGGTGGGCTCACACCATAATGTAGGCTTAGGATGATGAGCAGCGTCTGCAGAACGTTTGGATACGCAAGGCCACATTCCTGAATCTGTGGGCCGAGCTTGCCCCAGCCCTCCAGGGCAGGGACACTAAAATCAGAGATGCTCTGACAGTGGAGAAGCAAGTAGCGATCGTTCTGTGGAAACTTGCAACACCAGATTACTATCGGTCCATGGGAAATCATTTTTGAGATGTAAAGTCCACTGTGGAGGCCGCTGTCATGCAAGCGTGCAGAGACATTAATCATCTCCTGCTATACAGGTCCGTGGCTCTCGACAATGCACAGGACATAGCAGATAGATTTGCAGCAATGGGGTTTCCAAACTGTGGTGGAGCAACAGAGGGCACACACATCCCTATTTTGGCACCAGACTACCTTGCCACAGCAGAAAGGGCTATTTTTCTACGGTTATGCAAGTGTTGGTGGATCACTGGGAATGATTCATTGACATCAATGTTGGCTGATCAGAGAAGGTGCATGACATTTGCATTTTTAAGAGCTCAGGACTATTCAGAAAGCTATAAGCAGGAACGTACTTTCTTGACCAGTGGATTACCATTAGCGATGTTGAAATGCCAAGTGATCTCAGGTGACCCAGCTCACCTTTTGCTCTGCTGGCTCATGAAGCCGTATACCAGCCACCTCGACAGCACCAAGGAAAGATTCAACTAGTGGCTCAGCAGGTGCAGGATGACAGTTGAATGCACTTTTGGTAGACGGAAGGGATGCTGGAATTGTTTACTCACAAGATTGGATCTCAGTGGAAAAAAAATCCCAATGGTTATAGCTGCCTTCTGTGTCCTGCATGATATCTGTGAACTAAAGGGGGGAAGTTGCTGTTGGAGTGGAGGGTGGAGATGGAGCAGTCGTTTGCTGAGTTTGGACAGCCAGACACAAGGGCTATTAGAAGAGCTCTGTGCAGAGCGATACAGCTCAGGGAGGCTTTGAAAGAGCATTTGAACAGAGAGCCACAGTAATGCATTGTGCTGTACTGTGCTCTGCCTGGGCCTGATGTTTTGGGACCTGTTAGTAATTGTGTAGTGCTTGATGTACATCTATGAATATGACACTGTCAATACACCTATTAATTTTGAGGTGCTTGCTGTACATTTATGATTATTACACTGTTTGTCACTGATCCTGTGAGTTTTGTCACACTGTATGGTAACAAGTAGGCATGTGCTTTCTGAACTGCTGGGCACTCTGCAATGTAAGTTGTGAACTAATAGATGAATTATTTTCCAAATGGAATTTTATTCAAACAAAACCAGTGCAAAGAAATAGCTGTGCAATTTAAAAACAAATATATTAAAACTTAAGTTCTGTTCCATTAATATATTAAGGGGAAAGAACATTCACGTCCATTTTACCTAACATACAGCAACTGCGGCTTTCACACATCAGTGTATGTGAAACTGTGGTTATCCTTAATGTCCCTCAGCATGGAGTGGTAGAAGCAGAGATGCGGCCCCAGATACAACAAGGAATGTTGGGTGTGTGTAGTGAGATGCTGTAATGTCACTCTCTATGAACTACAAAGGGAGACAAGCCTGTAAGTCCACAATAGTCTGCAGCATTTGTGTTCGTTGCTGGAGAAGCCCCATTATGTCCTTGTGTGTATCCCTCCTTTTCCTGTCAGGACTCTCTCGTTTGCTCTTTCCTTCTCCATACAGTCTGTAATAGTCATCCTCCAAGCCCTCTGTTCATGGTCTGATGCAGCAGCAATGGCTTGCAGGATCTCATTGAACAAGTCTTCCCTAGTCCTCAACTTTCTGCTCTTTATCTGTCTCAGGTTTCCTTAAGGCCACAAAGACAGCAAAAACCACAGATACCATTGCCAGTGTAGTCACAACAGAAAGCCAAAGTTAAGATTCAGAACTCCCATCCCTTGCTCCCCTAAAGGTTTAAACAAGACCTGCTTATTGACACTTCTGCTTGGAAGTGCTCACGTACAGCGCCATTCACAGTGAGTGTGGCCCACTAGGGGTGAGGGAAATGAGGAGGGAATTGCTTGGTTGCATGAAACTGAGTATAGGGCAATAACAATGAATATTGGCACCACTTTCAACAAGCGGTGGTGATCTTAGCTGATATCTTACTCCTGAGGCTGACAAAGGCTCAAATACCACAGCTACTGCAAGAGTACCAAAGCCGCCTGCTAGCCTGTGTACTGGAATGGAGTCTGCTGAAGTTATCACCAACTGGCACAGGAAAGTGCCCTATCGCAGAGGAAGCAATAAGTCTGCTATCCCTAGAAACCTTCGTGAGAGGACAGCCAAGTACCTCCACAAAAGTTTCATCGAGATCTGAGACACATTCACATTCCTATTTACATTAACGAATTGCGCCACATAGCTGTCCCACCTCACTCCACAGGAGAATGAAAAGCAGATCAAGTTATATCTCTTTGTTGTACTGCTACCTCTCCTAGTACAAGAAAATCCTACATCAGGCTTGCCCATGCTCAACTGCTGGGGCTACTGGACTACAGTGGAGTCTCAAACAAATCCTGTCTGGTGGCAGAGTTGGACACCCTCCCCGCCCATATCTCATGTGCCTCCTCCTCCCCCTCTCTGTTCGTGCCGGGGACCTATGACTCAGGCTCCTCAGGAGGTATCCCCGGTGGTCTGTAGGATGGTAGTGAGGGTCTCAGCCAAGCATGTCGAGCAGCTCTTTGTAAAAGCCTCAGGTCTGTGGCTTGGCACCGGATTGACTGTTGGCCTTCCTAGCCTTCTGATATGCCTGATCAACTTCCTTTACCTTTGCATGGCACTGCTGCTGACCTGTCGTACCCCATCTCCTGCATCCCCAGTGCAATCTGCTCATAGATGTCCACGTTTCTACGTCTGGTTCATAGCTGTGCTTGCATAACCTCTTCTCCTAACAGGCCCAGGAGATCCAATATCTCCTGTCTAATCCAGGCAGGAGTATGTTTAAAGTGTATAGCCGGCATGGTCAGCTGGGCAGTTGCACACAACAATGGAGATCTGCTAGGTGTGCTCACTGAACTGGACAATCAGGAAAAGACATTTCAAGAATTCATGAGGTTTTAAGGGGGTGGGCTTCTGGTATACATGATCCTTTGGCAGTGGAGTTCATAATTGTGACCACAGTGGTCAGTGTCGGGCATGGTGGAACAGCTGCTGGAGGACTGTTAGGATCGACATAGGTAACAGTGTCTATACTCGTGCTACATCAACTTCAGTACATTGACTATGGCTGAACTCTGCTTGGAGAGGTGGTGTTAGCATAATAGAGAACTTATATCAGCATGAAACAAATTTAAGTGTGGACACATGCAAAGCAGCTTATGTCAACCTAACTTTGTAGTGTAGACCAGGCCTAAGACAGTCTTTTATCAGTTCCACAGAGAAAACATTTCTTTTTAGAAAGTGATGATTCTGACTATTAGACTAATCAGTACATTGAACAGATAAGCAAACATTCTTTAGGAATGTGACTTCAATAGTATAAAGTTCTAATAAGGCGCAAACTCTTAAGTTGCCCATATAAGAAGTCTATCAAAAGATCATCTAGATAGTGAGCTAAATCTAATAGTGAAACCAGATTAAGAGACCACATTAAATCCACAATTTCCATGAGTTCTATTACTAAATTCTTCTCTTACTGGTAAGACAAAACTAGGGCTCGAAGTTTAGAAAATGCTACAATATGTACATGTAAAAGTGTGCAGGGAGCAAGCCACCAAAAGCAGAGCCCTATACAGGAAGCTGAACTTCCCTTTCCCTTCCATCTGCAGCTGGAAATGTTTGTCTGAGAATTCAAACTACGTTTCTCTCACTTTGCTGTAATGATGCAATTCAAATATCTTTCACCACTCTTACACACACAGTTAAATAGAATTAGATTACTCACAGCAGAGCCACATAGGGCATGGCTACACTTGCAGATGTAGAGCGCCGGGAGTTAAGCCACCCTTCGGAGACTGCAGCAGGGAAAACGCTGCCGTGTGTTTATACTGTCAGCTGCAAGCGCAGTGGCGTGGCCACATTAGCAGCTCTTGCAACACCACAGAGAGCAGTGCATAGTGGTAACTATCCCAGTGTGCAAGTGGCTGCAGCATGCTTTCCAAATGGGGGGAAGGGGAAGGGGGGGAAGGAGTGTGACAGGGAGTGTGTTGTGTGTTATGTCGGGGGAGAGGCAGTGTGTTTTGGGAGGCAGAGAGTGTGTCAGCATGCTGTCTTGTAAGTTCAGACAGAAGCAGGGGGAAACCCCGACATCAACCCCCAACCCCCCCCACACGCCTGCCTCAGCGGCAGCAGCATTCCACAGTAATGGTTTGCTTTGTCCCGGAGCAGGTAAGCATGCTAGCTGTCAGAAACGGAGCTTTGAAAGAAGATATCCGCATGCCTGCAGCCAAGTTCAAAACAATGACAACAGTGGCCACTTGACTTCAAGGGATTATGGGACTTTTCCGGATCCCAATCACAGCGCAGTAATGCAACACGTCGTCCAACTGACACCTGGGCATTTCAGCCAGGACGCAGCAAGCTCAATGCTTCTCGTGGAGGTGGATTACCAGGAGCGCTCCAGCTGCGGAGTCCAGGCACTCTAAGTGCCTTGCCAGCGTGAATACCTCAGGTGTTAAGGCGCCCACGGCTGATTTAATGCGCTCTAACTTGCAAATGTAGCCAAGGCCATAATATGCTTCTATATTTTCTCTAAAAATATAAGTGATCATCTTTTATTCCAGTTTACTTTCCCATAAATTAAAGTAATTGCACATCTTAATGTCATTGAAATCATACCTCATCAATCAGTACAAATACAAGAGCATCTTTATCGTCAATTAACTCTTGAATCTTCTGAAACATCTTGGTTACAAGTTTGCCACTCTGAAAAGAAAATACAAATATATTAGACTATTTTTACATAGTTTTCCAAGTCTTAGTTTATTATTTACAACTCTAATTGTATCCACATATAAGTTGGTTCCCAGAACTGATAAACAAAATTTACTATGATCTTCAATAGGTGTATCTGTACCACAAAGCTAAAATTCTGTAATGAGTTAGATAACACGTACCTCAGAAAACCACTTAGAGAAGAGGCTATGACTGTTTATCTCAATTAACTGTCCATATCTGTACCTAAAATATGGGAGAAATCATCAACAATTATATTGTAAAATTAATTCTACTGTTGAGTGCAAAGGAATCAATAACTACAGCTTACATCCTCAATATTTAAAAAAAGAATTTTGTGAACTGTGGCATCATAGCAGAACAGTCAGAATTCTTTCAACATTAGTGCTTTGTACTTACTAAAACAAGTATCTGAATATAAAATGTAACTATTGCAAACTAAATTTCAATCTCAGTTTTATGTCAGCATATGATTGCTCTTAATCTTCTCCACAAATATTTTTTTTGTCAAAGAAATCTAAGATTTGACACTGGCTTCTATTTAGGCACAATTCAGGTATAGACTACCATGCCAATAACCTTATTCTTATTTTCTGGTAATTACTTACAGTCCAAAGTAATACAAGTATCAAGCTAATTCTCATCAGTTCTTAAGACATTGCCAGGAATGCTAAATTACGTATGGCTGACCCTAGAATTAAATGTGTTAATATTTCAGTGTAAGAGTATATAATCCATGTCTATTACACACTTATGTGAGGAAAAACTGCATTACTTGGAGTAATAATGATTTATAATTGAACAATATTTATAAAATAGTAAGCTACCTAGTTTACTAAGATTTGCAATGTTAAATTGAATGCTATTACTTGTCTGTCTGAATATACAAGATGAGTAAGGGAGGATGTGTTGATCTATAAGACAAACAACACAAAACAAATATATGTCTGGCTCTAAAAGCTGTTTATTTAATTATTAAAGATGTGGGCTATTTTGTATGCAAACAAAACAATGGGCCTGATTCAGCTTGGCTCTTCACCTTCTGTAGTAGTTTATGAGTGCGCAAAGTAGGTATAATACACTATCATTCTAAATTTGTAGTGTTTTACATCCACTGGTGTAAGTAGCTGCCTACAATGAAAGGCATTGGTGAATCGGGCCCAGTGTCTTCAGTATAAGATATGACAAATGTGAGCATTTGCCATTCAACAAGCCAGGAGTGCTACATAAGGAACAACACTCAGCACCTAATCTCTGCCTGAAAGAAAACCTGGTGGCAGATTTTAGTCATACCTGGTGGCAGATTTTAGCCACCCTTAATGGGTTACAGATGTTTAACAAAGTAAACTGTATTTTAAACCAAAATATTAACAAAAATTACCTGTATGAAAGTCTAATGGTCAGCTTCTGAGCCAATGCTTTGCAGAGTGAAGTTTTACCAGTTCCTGGAGGACCTATATTCAAACCATATCCATATAATACTTTACATAGGAACACATACTAGCTAATATGGCCTGACATTTCCTTAGCTACTGAATTCCAAAACCAGCACTAATTACATTTTACAGTATAAAATAAACACACTACACTACAATAGCTGCCAATTTGAACAGTTATACAGATTGTTCACTGTGTCCAAATCTTCCTTAGTGCTAGAACTGCACCCTGTCTACACTGCATCTTTTAACAGAGATTGTAACCAGCTACTGGCACAGTTGCCTCTAAACATGGTCTGCGCACAGACAGATGGTTAAACTCCCAGTAACCATGGCAGCTAACAGCATTTCTCCCTCTGCACTAGCATTATTTTAAAAATCTATCAGAACTGCATTACCACTGATGCAGCTCCGCTAACTGCACTATTATACACTGGGAGTAGGTGTTTTATTACTATGCCATCTAACCCTGCTTGGAGCACATCCAGACAGCATGGTGGTTAAAATGCCTGCACCCTACCTCGTACGCAAGCATTCCCACTAGTGAGACTGCCCAAGCAGTGCTTTTTTTTTTTTTTTTTAAATAATGTAGATTGCTAGCTTAAGATGGCATATTGTTATCTTCCTGCACCTGATTCAGCATATTTGTTTTCTATTGTATAGACAAATGCTAAACATGCCTGCATTTGGCCAGTCCCGCCTTCCTTCTGTAATCTGTACATTAAGACCTCACAGAGCGCCCTGCCCAGTGTGCAACTGATGAGACACTGTGGGTTTGCCCGTCGGGCACTCCACCCCCTTCAGGATAACTGCCCAGATTTTCCAAGAATGGACCAATACAAACATGCTTAACTAGCCTGGGAAGAGTGAATATGCAAACATTGTCAAAAAAGTTCATATGTGGACACTAACTTAACTGTGTTATTTGTAACCAGCTAAGATGACAGTGCTCCAATGGGTCACAAAGTCAATGTTGTAGTTGTAATGTGGCTACATTTAAAAAACAAAAACAAAACAAAAAAAACACCACACCTTCAGATTCTGATATTCTTAGCTTTTTTCCTATTCTAACATATATATTTAAACAAATCCAGTATGACTCAAGTATTCCAGCGATATAAAGGATCCAATTCTCCCTTCAAAATCATTTTGCAGCTTTCAACAACATTTTATATTTAGACCTATAAATAAACCAAGAGAAGAGAGCTCTCTATTAATTTACTCTATTACAAAATCTCATGGTAGCTCTACTAGGGTTAAGTGAATATCCATTAATTAGCATTTCCATTAAGAACATCTATTGGTCACAGAAGCTCATTCTGGACTGCCACTTGGTATATAATGGTTCAGTTGAAGTCATAATCCTGTTTAAGGCATCACCAAAGCAACTAAGTGATGGTCCAAAAACCATGTTGTACAAGAAACACCACAATAAGTATTCACTTAACAATTGAAAATATAATGGTTACCATTGTATTTGGAGGTAATTATACATCTTAGGGGCAGGTCTTCACTACAGGGGAGGGGTCGATTTAAGATACGCAAATTCAGCTACGTGAATAGCGTAGCTGAATTCGACGTATCGGAGCCGACTTACCCCGCTGTGAGGACGGCGGCAAAATCGACCTCCGCGGCTCCCAGTCGACGGCGCTTACTCCCACCTCCGCTGATGGAGTAAGAGCGTCGATTCGGGGATCGATTGTCGCGTCCCGACGAGACGCGATAATTCGATCCCCGGGAGATCGATTTCTACCCGCCGATTCAGGCGGGTAGTGTAGACCTAGCCTTAGTTTATTAAACAAACAATTTAATCTGTTTAATATGTTATCACTTGGTTATTTTGAAAGGTTTCTCTGCTCTGAGTTCCATTGCATTCTTCCAAAGAAGACTAGATACAGCTCTTAGAGAAACCCTGTCAATGCTGCTCTCTAATCATCCAAAGGGATCATTATTCAATGACAAAGCATTTCCTGCCATTGGGGGATTGCTTCCATTTGGGGAGAGAACCAGTGAGAAAAGGAACCCACATTCTACCACACAAAAGTACAGTACAGCTTAGTCAAGAGAATGGCTTCATTATCAATACATTTACTCTTTATTTAGAAGTTGTAATCTTTACCATGCAGCAAGACAACTCTGTTCCAGGATATCAGGTTGCTGTCAACATTTTTGTCAGAAAACAGTAAAGTTGTCATCACATAGTCAAGTAGCTAATTCAAGAAGAGGAGGGAAAGAAGAACAGTTAACACACATACTATAACAGGATTACTAATGAGAGAACATAACACACCACCACCACCATCACTACTATGAAAGAAGTGCATAGAGCAAGGTAAATTTCTAGGCCGCATCGAAGCTGCATTTTTGACCACCTCTACTCATCTTCGTACTATTCATTTTCCTTTTTTCTTCTTTTATACCAACCATTGTTAAATGAGGTGTGAAAATATATTTTTAAATTAAATTCTGGCCTGCTTTTGTTTCTCAAAATGACATTTACTTTTAGTGCCTTTACTCTAGATACAATGCATATCTGAAAATATTTTTACCAATATTATTGGAAATGGCATAGACTACCCATGGTATCTATGGATTCCCAATTACCAAAAGGTCTCGTAAGATATGCAATTGAACCTGTGTTTAATTGGTGGCATTGTTCTATACTGTCAAATTTGATATGAACTCTTTTTTTAAAAAACAAAAACTACTTGCATCATACACTCTGAAAATGGGTTGCTGTCCAATCTATGTTTTAGATGAAAACTTGTCATTGCTCTTTTTGTATTTAGGATTTAATTTTTGACATGAAAAACTGGATTTTGTTGCTGGTCTGGAATAATGACAGAGCTGCTTCAATCACATTCATATTATATTATATTTACTTTCAGGTGTTCTAGAAGATGTATATTTTTGTTAGTCATAATGCCTGATGCTATTTGACGTTTAACCATATGCTGTATCTTCTGATATATACTGATAGTCCATCATATATAAATATTTCCAGTCAAATTTTCTTTACTTCCTATGGAACTGTTTATTTGCTATTGTAAGCAATTGGTAAATTGCTTTACTCAGAACAAATGTAAATAGTAGGAATTCTCCAGACAAAAGAATGTTTGCTTCCAAAAGGAATACTGTCCTCAGTTTTTAGTTTCCTGCCTGAAACATAAGAGATTTGACTCTATACTCACTTCATCTATAATTAGAATAGGAATACTCAATAGTATATTTTAATTTCTATTGCTATATCTCAATTTTCTGTTTGTTAAATTTTCACTGAGAAGTCAATGTAACATTCCTGCAATACTGAATGCCATAAGTCCTGTAGGTACAGCCGTTACACAGAACAAAAAAGTTTTTATTTTGTACCAAAACTGTTTTTAAAAAAGTCTATGAGAACTTGAATTACATATTAATTCTTGAGATGTCTCTTCACTCTTGATTACATCCTCAATATTGTTATTCTGCAACAGTGCTCTTAGGGACTCCTTTTCTAAAACTGGAATGTGTGTGTGAACAGGAGTATCTTTATGAATTTCTGTAACTACACAGTAGTACTGTTCATATTTTCCAGCTTTTCAAAGTGTTTTAGTTTTGCAACACTGAGAAGTAGTTTCAATTCATCTATCCATAGTTTAAATAGGCATGTAAGTGCAAAGTAATCTTTTTCTAGATGTTAAGTTCAGTTTGATGGTTATTTAGTTTCTCTCTTCTTACCAATAATGATGTAGTATTTATTTTTCAATGTAGTGTTTGGTCCATGTGCCTATTGTTATTTTCAGTATATCAGTTTACAGTTCATCTACTACGCAATAGGCTAATTTTAAAATAGATTAAAAGTACTGTCCTTTCAGAGGTGAACACCTGTCACCAACAGGAAGTGCACGCAGCAGAAAAAACCCAGGGCGGGTAGCCTGAATTGGATCAAGGAGAAACCATAAGATTTTAGAATTATTTTCACTCTGGATAAGGGGAACAATCAATTGATGACCCAATAGCAGAGAAAAGGGACATACTGAAAGTGAACAAGCCACCAGAAGACAATTCTAAAAGACAGATAATACTTTTAATACATTTATTGATGCTGTATAGTTTCTAAATGAAACTGCATCAGGGCTTAAAGAACATTTCCACATTTCCTCAGAAACTAAGACAATTTGAAATGTTAACAACATGCTGTTTTGTTACCCGTGGACTGGCTCACATAATTGTGAAAATATTTAAGTTTTTCTTTTTGAAAAGTAATAATAATAAGCATTTTTTAAAAAAAAGTGATTAATTTAACATCTAATTGTTACCATTGTCCCAGTGAGCATGCTCCGTAGCTCAAGGTTTTGTTGTTTTACAAGCTTCTGAGGAAGCACAGGACCTTCATCAAAGGGCAACTGCTTGTGTGGAGCTCTGCTATTCTAAGCACCTCTTTCAGGTACTGGGAAGCCATCAAAAGGTAGGGGTGTATTACCATGGGACACATTTGGCATTATTTGGGTGAACACTAATGGTGTGTCTTACTGGACAACCCTCACAGCAAACCAGACATTTGTTACACACAGCGCCAGCCTCAATAATGGACGTTTACTGGAATTTTCAACTTCTCCCTAAAGTTGTTTTTTCATGAGATGAGAAGCCAAGAGGTTGGAAACTGCACTCAAAGTCTCTTGTTACTAAGCCAGCCTTGTTCAGCCAGTTGCTAAGACAAACAAGCTTGTTTACATTTACAGGAGATAATGCTGCTTTCTTTTTATTTACAATGTCACCAGAAAGTGAGAACAGACATTTTTGTAGTTGCCATTGCAAGGTACTTACGTGCCTGATATGCTAAACATTCGTATGCCCCTTCATGCTTCGGCCACCATTCCAGAGGACATGCTTCCATATTGATGACGCTTGTTAAAAAAAGAATGTGTTAATTAAATTTGTGACTGAACTCGTTGGGGGAGAATTGTATGTCCCCAGCTGTGTTTTACCTGCATTCTGCCATATATTTCATGTTATAGCAATCTTGGATCATGATCAGCATATGTTGTTCGTTTTTAAGAACACTTTCAGAGCAGATTTGACAAAATGCAAAGAAGGTACCAATGTGAGATTTCTAAGGATAGATACAGCACTCGACCCAAGGTTTAAGAATCTGAAGTGCCTTCCAAAATCTGAGAGGGATGAGGTGTGGAGCATGCTTTCAGAAGTCTTAAAAGAGCAACACTCTGATGTGGAAACTACAGACCCCAAATCACCAAAAAAGAAAATCAACCTTCTGCTGCTGGCATCTAACTCAGATAATGAAAATGAACATGCGTCGGTACACACTGCTTTGGATTGTTATCAAGCAGAACCTGTTATGAGCATGGACACATGTCCCTGGGAGTGGTGGTTGAAGCATAAAGGGACATATGAATCTTTAGCTCATCTGGCACACAAATATCTTGCCACGCGGGCTGCCACGGTGCCATGCAAATTCCTGTTCTCACTTTCAGGTGACATTGTAAACAAGCGGGCAGCATTATCTCCTGCAATTGTAAACAAACTTGTTTGTCTTAGCAACTGGCTGAACAAGAAGTAGGACTGAGTGGACTTATGGCCTCTGAAGTTTTACATTGTTTTGGTTTTGACTGCCGTTATGTAACCAAAAAAAAAAAATCTAAATTTTTAAGCTGCACTTTCATGACAAAGACATTGCACTACAGTACTTGTAAGAAGTGAATTGAAAAATACTATTTCTTTTGTTTATCTTTTTTACAGTGTAAATATTTGTAATCAAAATTAATACACACTTTGAATTCAATTACAACACAGAATATAATATATATGAAAACGTAGAAAAACATCCAAAACATTTAATACATTTCAATTGGTATCTATTGTTTAACAGTGCAATTAAAACTGTGATTAATTTTTTTGTATTAATCCCATGAGTTAAGCGATTAATCGACAGCCCTAATAGCTACTAACTCTGCTCTAAGAGCTTCTCCTTTGTAAGATATTTTATTTAAATTACTGGAAATGTTGCTGCTCCAGCTGACTTCAGTTCCTATAACAGACACTCATGGTCAGGGGACCATTAATGAAGAAATGCATTAGAGAATAGGCATGTAGATGTCTTAATCCTGGCCTACATCTAAAACTTAAGTCAAACTAACTACATCGCTCAAGGGCTATGAATAATTTCACACCTTTTGCAACAGTTAGGTTGACTTAACCCCTACTGTAGACACAATTAGGTCAACGGAAGAATTCAGAGTTTCTTGAGGCTGTGTTTTTTCAGCTAGAGGAGTTAAAAAAATATGATTGTCAAACATTTTTTAAAAGTCTGAGCTTTAAATAGTTAATATGACAGTGTATCATCATGATGAAATGTTATGGAAAATTCAACTGGGCTATGTAATTTCTGTAACGTTTACATGATAATATCACTAAACTTTGCAGATAAATTCAAACTACAAAAGGTAAAATTAATGAGTTTTAGTCTGCTTTCACCCAAGATCTGAATACAACTCCAACAATGAAGCCAAACAATGGAGCTGTTACTACAGTCCACAATACAGCTTGCAAGAATATGCTAAGTCACAATCCCTCAGGATCTCCTTTTATTCACATAAAATGTAAAACAAAAAGTTTTATTTTGTATGAAGTGTTATGGCCAAAATTTGAGTTTGGGTACCTGGAAATAAAGTAATTTATGCTGGGTGCCTATTTTTCAGAAGTTGAGAGTACCTACCACCTTTGCAGAAGTCAATGCAAGATGCAAGTGCGCAGGGCTGCTAAAAAACAACTCTTATTTAGGTGCATCATTTAATATACCCATTTTGATCTATTTTTATCCAGAGATTACCAGAAAGTTTTGTTGTGTAAAATATATTAAGAAAACTGGGGGGAAAAAAAATCTCATTTTGCGAAGTTCTGTCTTTATTTTAGCTGACTAGAAATATACTAACAAGGTAATTAAAAAGCATACTTCTCCTCAAACACAAACGTTTAATAAGGCTTTATAAAATTCCATGTAAAAGAAGTTTCATTTCTGAAGACTGTTTCTCCCCAAGCTGTAGCACTTTCTACAGGTTACCTGTCAAGACCTCCTTGTCCACAGAGGGGTTATTCATTCAACTTACATGCGATTTTACTTCAGTGTCATACACCAGGCTCTCCCAAAGACCATGGAATTCAACTGCAAAACAATATTATAGCCATTATGTATTATTCTATTTATTAATAACTAAGAACGCTCAGTTAAACCCAGTGATCTGTTATCTAAACAGTGCATTATAATGCTGACAGATTTTCTGCAATAAGAAACACGCTCAACCATAATTAAAGATATGGAACAAACAGCAGACAATTTTGAACGATAAAAATTAACCTAGGTTAATTTTGTTGCCCTGAAAGGAAAGTTCTTTACTCATTAGTGAATCAGAGAGTTTTACAACTTCTAGCACATGGTACTATTTGGTCAACTGTAAGTATGGGTTAAATTACTTACTGGTTTCAACTTTCAGTAACATTTACCTATAGGTAAGAAAAAATTATTGAATAGAATTTGTTCCCAATCATTTTATTTTCCATGTTAAAAATGTGAAAGTGAGATGCGAAGTTTGCGAAGAGTAAAATCTATTGAAAGCCAGGACATTTGTTTATTAAAAAGGCCAGTTTTATAATTCAATTTTTTTTACAAGACTATTGTCGGCATGTAAGTGAGAAAGGCAGAAAAAACAAGGAGTTGTAGAAAATGAGTAAAAATCAACTGCTTGATTTTGGTTTGTATTTATGTGATGTGTTTTTTTAAATAGGAAAATTAAAATCTTATAAGTAAGTTTCAGAGCTTTCAGAAAGGAAACTAAAAGGTTTTAAAAGCAGGGTTTCCTCTTAATCATAGCAGGAGATTTTCATAGGTAGGAACTGAAAGCTGAGAAGGTGGCTGGGAAAAAACCACCCTAATATATTATCTTACATGGCAAAATGATGTCAAAATGAACAGCCACCTTCCCATCCATAACCCTTCCCAAGGAGTGGAGCTTGAACTATGTGGTGTACTCAGGTTTTCCACAGGATTGGTCAAAGGGAGAGAATGCCATGGAACTGCTGTTTCCCCCCCTTCCACCTAAGAGTGCCCAATCTGGTTCCCCTGAAGACACGGTAGTAGCAGAGAGAATCAGGCCCTATTTCAATACATCCTGGGCAAATCTTATTCCGATCTTGGGAACAAGGCCCCTACAACTCCTCTCCTCCTCCCAGTTTTGTTTTGTTTTCCTTCTTAAATGAATGACTTGACAAGATGGGATAATACAGTGAGACAAGAGTGTGCATAGATAGGATATTAAGTGTATGAGCAAGAATAGGTGCCCAAAAGTTAATTAGAATGTACAACAAGAACCAGAGCAGAAGGTTTTAATCTGTGAAGTGTTCTTGTCAAATAAATATTCATTTAGACCATGCATTTTCACTCATGGCCACAAAAACCACTTACTTCCTCCATCTCCTAGTACTTCAGAATTGTGCGCCATATCCCAGAATCTTTTGCATTGCTTCAGTCAAAAAAAGAGATGACTAAAAAAAATATTTGTTAATTCATTGCTTCCTCACACCTGTTGGGAACCAAGCTTCATCCCATATACAGATTACCTTTAACAAGCAGCCCTATAGCTACAGCCAAACAACCATGTCCCCTCCCATTCACAGATTTTCCTCTGGACCCCAACTAGCTACCAAAGAAGAGTACCTGTAGGCAGCACCCAGTGGTTGGCTGCAACAATATTCTCATTCTCTTCCTCTAGATTTTCAGTGCTTGGTCCTTCGTCATTCAGATGAAAAATATGAATCGAGAGATTGCATTTGCTCAAGTTAATGGGCTAAAATGGATAGAAAAAAAGTCAGCTTTAATAAGTTGATATAAAAAGTAAGTTGATAAGTCAAATAACTCATTTTTGGTAGCTTGTAATAAATAAGCTTTCTTTTTAGAAAAAGTTAAGAATTGGGTTAAAAACAGAAGCAATCTGAGGTTTTTGGGTAAAGAGCTGTATATTTTAGAACCAGTGATTGAATTTTAGTCAATTATTCCCCCTTCCCTCCCCCCCAATAAATCATACTGAGAATGAGATGGTATTCATGCACCTTCTGTGCATCTTACATTATTTCAATTCATTCGGTGGTTTTGAATGCGGTAGATGGGAGACTGAACATTCCACATTTCTAGTATTTATCAGAATAACTAAAAACTGCAGAACTCTTTGGAATAAAGATCTTAGGAGGTCTATTGCCAATGAACCTCTTCTAAACATTAATTCAACTCTTCAATGAAATCATCAAGAAGTGGACTGTCTGAAGAAAACAATCACTTTCAACCTGAATTCTGAAGTTTACTTTTGGGGGATTTATGTGATTGGGCATTTTACTGGTCTAAAAATCACTGGCCAGTTGACCAATCAAATGTTGATTAAATATGGTCAAAGTAAAAAATGGTCAAATATTTATCAAAGCACTAATTTATTAGAACAATAGTAACAAAAAAAGATGGGCAACAATAGGCTTACCCTTAGATAGATACTTATGCCCAATTACAAAAAATTACTTAATTCAGTTATTTTAACTAAGAAAAATGTGAAAATTAAATCAAGTTCGATAATGAAAAAATAATTACTTTTTTAGCAATGATAGATTAGCATTTAAATGTGAACTTTATTCAAGACTTAGTGAAAAAATGAAATTAAACAGAACACCTCAAGTTATTTTTAATAAACTTGTTAGGTAGGCAGCATCTCACTTTACATTATCTTTTTCTTTATCAGCTTCAACTGCTTCATCTATATCTTTGTCGTCATCATCAAATTCATCAGTATCTCCCTCTTCCTCTTAATCTGATTAATACTGACTAAATTTTTCACCTGCAATTTTCTTCTCTAATCTTAGTGACAGTCACTATCTTCCCAGCAATGGAAGTCTTCAGTCTATTTCTGATTTTTGAATGGACCATTGCCCAAGCTGACCAATTTTATTTAGTGCACAGAAGTGATGTAAATTTTGCCATTGTAACTACAGAGCAAGGATAACCCTTTTCACCATGATAAAGCAAGCGGTTTTGATTCAACAGCTGGTATTGTACTCGATATTGTTTTATGACTGAACAGGCTGCTTCATGCTTTATAATTTGCTGCCTGTCAGATTTGTTCATTTGTATATCTTAAAATATGCAACAGCCACTATTAGGTCACAAGCCAAATCAAATTAGTTATCAGAAAGGTCTGGGCTCAAGAATGTAGGCAGCATTGATGTGTGCGAGTGATCACTTGATTTTTTCCATGGTATTATTTTGTCTATTATCTTTCTCTTCAGCTTTTGCAAATGGACTATGTTCAGCCTTTTCACAATGTTTCTTAGTATTTAGGAACTCGTTCTTGGCATCAGACAATGTAGAACTACCACTTTCCACATTCTGAAAGGATTGAACTATAGTTTCAAGTAGTGAAATGAATTTTGCACCCAAAGACAGCCATCAAGAATATCAGTGAAGATTACTCGGAGTAACACCCAGCTACCCCTTCTTCAACAGCAGCTGATTGAAGAGCCCGCAGGTGCCACCCCCACAGCTCTGATTAGCTGCGGTTCCTGGCCAATGGGAGCTGCGGAGCCAGCACTGGGGGCGGGGGCAGCGCGTAGAGCTTCCCTGATCGCCCCTGCTCCTAGGGGCCACAGGGACAAGCTGGCTGCTTCCAGGAGCTGCGCGGAACCGACTGGACTTTTAACAGCAAGGCAACCCCAGCTTCCCCCCCGCAGAGGGACAAGCTGCCACTCGCGGCTCCAGCACTGCAGGGGGACGAGGCTCGGGGCTTCCGGCTCACAGCACAGAGATTTGCCGTGGGCTGGATGAAATAAAGCAGCAGACTGGATCGGGCCCGCGGGCTGTAGGTTCCCCACTCCTGACTTAAATATTAACTTTATACAGATGACATTTTTAAAAGACTAAAGAGTCTTAAATGGAGGAGACTCCCCAAGCAGAGTGGCTGTCTCGTACGCTCCAGCAGGACGGTTAGACTCCTTGGAACATTTACACTACCTATTGTAACCATGAATAGTCTCGTTCATATACATGTCTACTCTTTTGAATCGTCATCATATTTTAGCCTAAACAACATCCTATGACAATAAGTTATACAGGTTAAATACCTATTGCATTTCCATTTACCAGTTTTAAATTTGGCAGCCTTTTAATTTTGTTAGTGTTCCATTGTTCTAGTGTTATGTGACAGGGTAAATATAGTTTTGCCTATTGAAATCAGACACATTTTGTCTGTCACCTGAAGAATCATACTACTTTTCTGGTCAATTCATGAAAGAACCAGACACACAGAATTAAATTTGGAAAACAGATTGTAAGTGTGGGTATTTTCAGGATTTGTACTACATTTTTTACTACACCATTATTTTTACTACACCATATTTTCTCCATCTTTTTGCTCCAATGAAACAGTGTTACATAGCAAAAGGGATAAATTTGTTTAATTGAAAATATGAGAGCTTGATAATGCATCACCAGGAGATGAACTAAAATTTGTGGTTTTCTGCTAGTATATCTCAATGCCTATCTTTTGCCTGTTGATATACACCTCCTTCGTAAAAACTGCATACACACTTGTTTGCCTCTTGGGGGAGAAGAAAAGAAATAATTCTGGGAAATCTGTATCCATCTTTTGTGGTGCAGTGATTGCTGCTGTACTTGTTCCTGACTTAGGTTTTACACATGCAAGACTATGACCATTTTGAAAGAAATAAAAATAAAACATACAATATCAGAAATAATTGACTCTGAGAATACAGGAGGGTAAAGCTAAGAGTAAGCTTAATTAAACGGATTACTATAATTTAATGTGATTTAATAGCAAGTTGATAACATTTTTCTATAAAAAGCGTATCCTTTTTATATTTACAAAAATTTGATTACCTGTCTTTCTTTCAGTTTTAGCTCTGTGTCCACAATTGACACAGACTGCACATTGTTGTTCAGAAAACCATCATCAAACTCAGTCCATGTGTAATCACCAAAAACGATGTTATGTCTGTTTAGCAGCTTTAAGACACTCAGCCTGATATCTTCTTTCTTTGAGGTGCTAATAAGAGAGAAACAACATTATTTGTTAAACATCAGTGATATGCCTGGCAGCATGCAAGATTAATATACCTACAAAAAGCTTTTTTTTTTCTTTTCTTTTTTAAATAAAGGGCTTTCCCCCAAAGGGCTTAGAAACAGAACATGGAAAATACTGACTTTTTCTAGAAGAAAAAGTGTTCTAGTTAGGGCTGTCAATTAATCTCAGTTAACTCACACGATTAACTCAAAAAAAAATAAATCGCAATTAATCGCACTGTTAAACAATAGAATGCCAATTGAAATTTATTAAATATTGTCTGATGTTTTTCTACATTTTCAAATATATTGATTTCTATTACAACACAGAATACCAAGTGTACACTGCTCACTTTATATTATTTTTATTACAAATATTTGCACTGTAAAAATGATAAAAAATGGTATTTTTCAGTTCACTTCATACAAGTACTGTAGTGCAGTCTCTATCGTGCAAGTGCAACTTACAAATGTAGTTTTTTGTTACGACTGCTCTCAAAAACAAAACAACGTAAAACTTTAGAGCCTACAAGTCCACTCAGTCCTACTTCTTGTTCAGCCAATCACTAAGAGAAACAAGTTTGTTTACATTTACGGGAGATAATGTTGCCGGCTTCTTATTTACAACGTCACCTGAAAGTGAGAACAGGCGGTCACATGGCACTTTTGTAGCCGGCATTGCAAGGTATTTACATGCCAGATTGCTAAACATTCATATGCCCCTTCATGCTTCGGCCACCATTCCAGAGGACATGCTTCCATGCTGATGACGCTCATTAAAAAATAATGCATTAATTAAATTTGTGACTGAACTCCTTGGGGGAGAACTGTATATCTTTGGCTCTGTTTTACCCACATTCTGCCATATATTTCATGTTATAGCAGTCTCGGATGATGACCCAGCACGTTTGTTTTAAGAACACTTTCACAGCAGATTGGACAAAACGCAAAGAAGATACCAATGTGAGATTTCTAAAAATAGCTACAGCATTCGACCTAAGGTTTAAGAATCAGAAGTGCCTTCCAAAATCTGAGAGGGATGAGGTGTGGAGCATGCTTTCAGATGTCTTAAAAGAGCAACACTCCAATGCAGAAACTATGAAATCCGAACCACCAAAAAAGAAAAACAACCTTCTGCTGGTGGCATCGGACTCAGATAATGAAAATGAACATGCGTTGGTTCGCTCCGCTTTGGATGGTTATCGAGCAGAACCCATCTTCAGCATGGACGCATGTCCTGTGGAATGGTGGTTGAAGATGAAAGGACAAATGAATTTTTAGTGAATCTGGCACGTAAATATCTTGCGACGCTGGCTACAACAGTGCCATGAAAACGCCTGTTCTCACTTTCAGGAGACACCAAACAAGAAGCAGGCAGCATTATCTCCTGCAAATTGTAACCAAATTTGTTTGTCTGAGCAGACTTGTAGGCTCTAAAATTTTACATTGTTTTATTTTTGAATGCAGGTGTTTTTGTACATAATTCTACATTTGTAAGTTTAATTTTCATGATAAAGGGATTGCACTCCAGTACTTGTATTAGGTGAATTGAAAAATACTATTTCTTTTGTTTTTTACAGGGCAAATATTCGTAATCCAAAATAAATATAAAGTGAGCACTGTACACTTTGTATTCTGTGCTGTAATTGAAATCAATATATTTGAAAATGTAGAAAACAGCCAAAAATATTTAAATAGTATTATATTATCATTTAATCGAGCAATTAATCACGCAATTAATTTTTTTAATCAAGCAATTAATTTTTTTAATTGCTTGACAGCCCTAGTTCTAATATTTGCCAAAAATTAAGTTGTCAAAAAGTACTAGCAGAAGCTGCACTGTAACAGCTCGACATAAGAGTTACTCCTGGGGGAATTCTGCACCAAAAAATTAAAAATTCTGCACACAATATTTTAAAATTCTACATATTTTGTCAAAACAACACTATATAATCACACCAGTTTACATTATTTTGGTAATTTATTTCAAAATACCTTTCAGCAACTGTGTCTGTAACAGTACGGACACAAAAAAAATTCCTCCAGGAGTAGAGAGCTAAGGAAACCCTTATGACAACCCAGTTCCTGTTTCTCTGCCCCCACCTCCCAGAACCTAGCAGGGGGCCAGGCAACCATACCCCCTCTCTCCAGAGCCCAGCTGCAGGGCACCCCCAGCCCAGATACTCGCACGTAATCCCTACCCCTCAGAGCCCAGCCACAGGATACCCAGACCCCAGCTGTGCCCCCCAGCCCAGACCCCCACCATCCCCCCCAGCCCCCCCCCCCCAGCCCAGACACTCGCCGTCCTCGTCCCCCACCCAGCCCTGTAATCCAGAGGGAGCAACAGCCTGAAGCTGGATCCTGGGCTTGTATGGAGATTCCTGCATGCCGCCTACTTCCTTCAGGGTGTACTAAAAAACTGCAGCTGCCAGGAACCCTCCAGCTCCCTCCCCCACCCCCTGTCAGTGTCTTCTATCTGCAAGCTGGGCTCTGCCAGGTCCAGTGACCCTAGTGGCGGCCAGCAGCTTTCCAGCCCATTTCTGTGGAGGAAAAGGAAATTCTGCACAAACGCATTCATTTCTGCACAAATTCTGCATGTGCAGTGGCACAGGATTCCCCCAGAAGTAACGAGTCAGGTTTAAAGTATGTGTGTTTACTTGTGTGTGTGAAACTTAATAGTCATATACCAGAGGAAAAACTGCTACTAACCTGTTCTGTAACTGTTGTTCTTTGAGTTATGTTTCATGTATATTCCACGTAAGGTATATTCACACCCAGTTAGCACCTGAGATTTTTCCCTTAGCAGTACCCAGCGGGGCACCTCATGAGCTCTCTGCTGCCTCGTGCTGCTACACAATGGTATAAAGGCCAGAGTGCGTGCCCTCCTCCCCCGAGTTCCTTCTTACCAGACAGACTCCAATATAGAGGGGAAGGAGGGTGGGTCATGGAATGGTCATACACAACACAACACATCTCAAAGAACATCAGTTACAGGTTAGTAACCGTGTTTTCTTCTTCCAGTGATTCCACACATCCATTCCACTTCAGGTGACTCATAAGCAGTTCAGTCCAAAAGGTGGGATCACAGTTTACCCAAATAATGACAGAAGGACTACACACACATCCAAATCTGGCACTCTCTCTAGACTGTTAAAAAAAAAATAGCACCATGACATGCAAAAATATGTACTGATGACCAAGTTAAAGTTCTACAAATGTCCAGTATAGGTACTTTAGCTAGAAAAGCAGCACAGGCTGCATGCGATCTTGTTGAATATGTTAGCTCCCTGTTTGTCAGAATTACACTGCCATATTGTAGCACAAACACATACAGGAGGAAATGCACAACAAAGTTCTTTGGGATGAGACTGGAAGGCCCTACATCCTGTGCACAGTTGCTACGAACAGTTGTGAGGATGACCTAAATGGTTTAGTCTTATGCAAGTAAAATACAAATACTCCCCTAACATCTGTGTGGCATCTCTCTTCACCATTATGAGCAAGAGGGTTAGGAAAGAAAGTTGATAAATACATTGCCTGATTGATATGGAAATGAGAAGCCACTCTGGTGAGGGACTTTGGATGAAGGTGTAAGTATATCCTGTCCTTGTAAGAGACTGTATATGATAGATCAGACACCAGGGGTCTCAATTCTCCTACTCTCCTTGCTAAGGTAATTGCCACCAAAAAGGCTACCGTTACTGAAAGATGCAGCAAAAAACAAATAGCCAGAGGTTCAAAGGGTGGATCCATTAGCTTTGTTAACACCATGTTTAAGTTCCTCTACTTGGGAATATAAACTTGGCCCAAACCGTTCAAAAACGTGAGTTAGGTAGGATTGGAGAAAAGTGGACAATTATCAAATGGAAGGTGGAAAGCAGAGTGAGCGGCTAGGTACACCCTGATGGACCAATTGGAAGACTCTGTTGTTTCAGCTATAACAAATAGTCCAGCGCATGTTATATTGGAGCCTGGACCAGACAAATACTTTTTTGTTGAGACCACAAAGAAAATAATTTCCACTTCACAGGTAAGTGTATCTAGAAGTAAGTTTTCTGCTATTCAAGAGAATAACCCTTGAACAGACCTCCTCCAAAGTATTAATGATGGAGCACCCACACTGTACGGCTAAGAGCACATGGGTTGTGATGAAGGAGGGGCCCATGGTCTTGTGAGATCAAGGCTGGTTCTGGAGCCCTGCTTGAGAGAATCAGCAGAGTGGAAAATCAATGGTGGTGAGGCCATGCCAGTGCTATGAGGATCATGCAAGCAAGACCCTGTTTGATTTTTAACTACACTCTGGTAGGAGCAGAGCCAGAGAGGATGCATACATGAGATTATCTTCCCAGGACGAAAGGAAAGCATCCGCCAGAGACCCTGGACTATGACCTGCACATGAACAAAATTGAGGACAATTCCTGTTGTGTCGAGTTGCAAACAGGTTTATGTGGTAACCCCACAGGCTTGAAAAATAAGTCATACATTAATTCTTCAACATTGAATAGAAAAATTCTTCAAAAACCAGTGCAAAGAGACTAAGATAATGTATTGCTTGTACATACAAATGACTGCTTTCATGTCCTTTATAAACATACTAAGGTGATGTACTACTCCCTTGTAGACAGTACATTTTCACTGATTTAAATTTTTTTTTTTAAAAATTCAGAACTATTAAGGGAATACGGATGTCTGTTTCCGGAAATTATCTTGCCCAACACTACTCACTCCTTTAATTTAATAATCTGATGACCTGTTCAACCCATTTTATTTAAAATGAAAATAACCTTAATTTGCCTATACAGGAAAAAGTGAAAGCTGTAAAAATTGGAATACCAAAGCCAAAACACTTGGCTTCAAAAAACATTCAAAGTTATTAAGCAACAATGTTCTGTCACATAACTTTTAAGTCCAAAGTACTTAAAAGCTAGGAAACGAATAGTTATAGACTGCATAAATCTTGTATGAACCACACAATATATTATTTGGCAACCAAGTTCTATTTCAACACAATAAAACTAACTTTGACCCAAAATAAATAGACTATCATATCTAATCTAAAAAAATAAACAACCTTCTTCCAGAAAAAAGCCATCAAATTATATATGAGCACTTTAGACCAGGGGTCGGCAACGTTTGGCACGCGGCTCGCCAGGGTAAGCACCCTGGCGGGCGGGCCAGTTTTATTTACCTGCTGACGCGGCAGGTTCGGCCGATCGCGGCTCCCACTGGCCGCGGTTCGCCGTCCCGGGCCAATGGGGGCAGTGGGAAGCGGCGCGGGCGTGCGATGTGCTGGCCGCGGCTTCTCGCCGCCTCCATTGGCCCGGGACGGCAAACCGCGGCCAGTGGGGGCCGCGATCGGCCGAACCTGCCGCGTCAGCAGGTAAATAAAACTGGCCCGGCCCGCCAGGGTGCTTACCCTGGCGAGCCACATGCCAAACGTTGCCGACCCCTGCTTTAGACAATGAGCCTCAAACGTAAGTTTACATATATGTAATTTTGCCACCCTGACAATATCATGATTTTTGTTATTAGATATGTATATTATTCTCATGAAAAAAGTTACATCCTTAATAGTTGATATTTAGCAGTTGTTCACAATAATGTCAATATTTAGATAGTAATATCAAGATAACAATATATTAAATAAAATCCAAGGTCAAAGTTAAGTTTGTGGAATGCACATTTCTTGAAAAGAATAAGAAGTTTAGTATACGGGTGGTGCAAGTTTTTTTCCCCCCTTTAGTGAATTGCTTTTGTTGGTGGTGTGATAGGTAAGCACACTTATTTAACCACCTTTACTCGTTTTTGAATTGAAACTTGTGTTTTCGGAAAACCTACTAAGTTCTTGTGACGTATGTTAGACTTCATTCATATACCTCTGAAATGGTCACAATATAAAACAAACCTGTTTGATTTCTGATGAACTTCTACATGTATCTGCACAGAATCACACACATTTGGAAGTGCCTGTTTTAAATCACCAGCTGCCTCATCCATTTTATTCATTCCTAAAAAGAAAATATACAACAGTGTTTACTAAAAAAGTGCCTCCAATGGCCTTTACTTTGAAGAGTTGTTAAAACATCAGAATGATAAAGCATTTGCCCCATTCTAATAATAATTAGGCCAAGTTAATACTTATGGAACACCAGTGGGAATGTGGATCTGTGGCTATTACGCTTTCTAGAGGAAAGGGCTGTTTATCATAAATGGAAAAAAGTGATGGAAAGATTAAAAAAAACACACAGGTTTTGTAACATAACAGTTCAAGCAGTTTTCAGAGGGGAAACAGTTCAAGCAGTAATACTCAAATTCAGGCAAACATATACAAACTTCTATACCCCAGTCCACAACTCTACATGAATTACATTAGCTTTCAGCAATTTACATCTACAAACTGCTCTATAAACTCATTATTCTGTTGCATTAATTTAGATGTACTATATGTGTTAAAGATATTAGCATAACCCAGTCACTGTCCAACATTAAACAGTGTTAAACAGGGGTCAGGAAACAGACACCTCATCCTGCTTAGCACCATGGCAAACACAAACACTTTTAACCTTTTATTAAAGATAAAGAAAAAAACAGTTAAAGCATTTGAAATGTAAAATATTAAGTGAGGGTTTCATATTTAACAACTTTTTTTTCTCTTTCCCTTTATTTGGAGAGGAATTTTAGAAGGAAAACTATCATTGTTTGAGAGTCTTGTAAGCTGGTATAAAAAAAAAAAATGGTAACAACTGCCCTATCAGGGAAGAGAAAAAAAATCAGTTGAGATGGGTTGGAGCTTTTGTTAAAGTCTGATCCTGTTTCATCCCAGGTGGTGTTCGGGATTCAGTAGGAATCAGCAGAGGTTGATGTCATCTGGTTTCTCTCGTTGGCCCAGTCTAGCCAGGACATCTCTCAGGATTAGGATGAAGGTCTGGGGTCCCAGGAGATGGTGGGGATGCAGCCATAGGCGCCAACTTCCCCTCTTTGCCGTGGGTGCTCAACCCCCCCTTCCCCCGGCCCTGCCCCAGCCCTGGCTCTTCCCCGCCCCCATTCCAACCCCTTCCCTGAAGTCCCCAACCCAACTCCACCCCCTCCCTGCCCCTATTCCAACTCCTTCCCCAAATCCCCGGGAGGTAGGCAGAGGAGCGGGGACGCGGCACACTCAGGGGAGGGGGAGGAGATGGGGCGGGGGGTGAGGGGAGCTTGGCTGACGGTGGTTGCAGAACACCCACTAATTTTTCCGCATGGGTGCTCCAGCCCCGGAGCACCCACGGAGTCGGTGCCTATGGATGCAGCCAAGATGGTGACGCTCGCTAAAGTAGCCAGTCTCTCCCCCTGCCACCCCCACCCCAAAGTCTCTTTCTTTAAGGACCCAAAAAGGGAGTGGTGGGTGAAACAGTCCATCCCCTCATTATTTCATCCACCAATTAGGCCTAGCTCACCCAGCAGTTGTGGCTGAAGCAAACAATGACAGTGCTTCTACTCAGTGCACCACAACATGCCCCTGCCGAGTCCAACTATGGCATCTGGCAAGAGGACACCTGAGAACGGTACTGAGAGTACGTCTACACCAGGGGTCTCAAACTCAAATGACCATGAGGGCCACATGAGGACTAGTACATTGGCCCGAGGGCCGCATTACTGACACCTCCCCCTCTGCCCCGCCCCCACTCCACTCCTTCCATGAGGCCCCGCCCCTGCCCCGCCTCTTCCCACCCCTTCCCTGCCCCCATTCCAACCCCTTCCCCGAAATCCCCACCCCAACTCTGCCCCCAGGGGGTGCAGGAGGGGTGTGGTGGCGGCTCAGGGCAGGGAGTTGGGGTGCAGGGATATAGAAAGGGGTCAGGGTGCAGGGTGCGGCAGGGGGCTCAGGGCAGGGGGTTGGGATGCAAGAGGAGTGCAGGGTGCGGCAGGGGGATCAGGGCAATGGGTTGGAGTGCAAGAGGAGTGCGGGGTGTGGCAGGGGGCTCAGGGCAGGGGGTCGGGGTGCAGGGTGCAGCGGGGGCTCAGGGCAGGGGTCAGGGTATGGCAGGAGGTCAGGGTGCAGGAGGGGTGCAGCATGGGGCTCAGGGCAGTGGGTTGGGATGCAGGAAGGGGGAGGGGTGCAGCAGGGGCTTGGGGTGCAGGGGGTTTGGCTGCTCCCTGCCTGCCTTGCCCCCGCAAGAGGCTGGAACGTGGGGAAGGGGGGGCGGAGGGGCTGTGCATTTCTGTTGCTTGAGGCACCGCCTCCAGCAGCTCCCTGAACTGCACCCTGCACCCCAGACCGGCAGCAGGCTCAGTGGTGGTAGGGACCTGCAGCCTGCCATTAAAAAAAAAATCCGCACATGTGCCGTAGGTTGAGGACCCCTGTTCTAGTGTATACTGTACTTTATGGTAATTTTTACTATACACAATTTTCCTCTTACACACTGACTTTAGAACCTAACCCCCGCGTAAGATGGGACTCCACTGTATTCATTTTTGAAAGTTTATAATAAACGATGTTCAGGGGAGGGGAGCGGAAGGGCGGGGGACGCAAGCTGGAAGTTTCTCCTAGGCCTGGTCTACACTAACCCCCCCACTTCGGACTAAGGTACGCAAATTCAGCTACGTTAATAACGTAGCTGAATTCGAAGTACCTTAGTCCGAACTTACCGCGGTCCAGACGCGGCAGGAAGGCTCCCCCGTCGATGCCGCGTACTCCTCTCGCCGAACTGGAGTACCGGCGTCGACGGCGAGCACTTCCGGGATCGATCCGGGGCACTTCCGGGATCGATCCGGGATCGATTTATCGCGTCTTAACCAGACGCGATAAATCGAACTCGGAACATCGATTGCTTACATCCGGCCCCGGATGTAAGTGTAGGCGTACCCCTAGAGCACAAAATATCCTTGAACTGGCTCTGCACGGGGTACAAGCCCAAAGGCTGGAGCCAAATCCCTGAGGGGCCGGAACTGGCCTGGCCCTGCTTTATAGCCTTTAGACACAGTCCTCTACTATTTAATTGCATTACCGTCTCTATTGGACCTTCCTGCCAACTCAGTTACGCCCTCACCCGGCCGGGAGCCTCGGGCGGACCCGACCAGGCACCACCACGTGCGCACACGAGGCCGTGTCTACGCCAGGGATGCGCGGAGGCTGCTCGGTTGCAGAGGACACAGGCGGATCCCGAGGACACCGCACAGGCCGCTGTAGGGACGGGCCGGGCTACGCTGCCCGCTGCCAGGGAGGCGCCGGCCCGGGCTGCACCGGGCCGCTGGGCTCCAAGGAGCCCTTTGGGCCCCAGCGCGGAGAGCGCCCCGCAGCCGGAACCGGAGCCCCGTCCCGGACCATCCCCCGCCGCCCGCTCCCCCAACGTACCGCTCCGCGCGCCGCTGCAAGGAGGGGCTGGGCTCGGCTCGCGCACGAGAAGCAGATGCCGTCGCTACTTTTGGAAAAACGCGGGGAGGGGAACCCCGCCCCCTGCCCCGGAAGTTCATGCTCCCGGCCGACCCCCTTACCCGGAAGGGCATCTCCGGACTCGCTTCCGGTGGGGCCCGAGCGGCGGCGGCGGCGGCTGTTTCCGGCCGCGGCGGGGCCGCCATGGGCAAGAAGCACAAAAAGCACAAGACGGAGAAGGCGGAATGGCGATCGGCCGCCGCGCCCCCCACCTACAGCGGTGAGTCACGGAGCGGCGGGGCCCTGCGCTGCCTCCTCAGCCCGCGGGCGGCGCCGCTCGCTCGCTCGGCGCATTCGGCCCCGGTTGTCGCTGCCAGCGGGGGGCGGGGACTCGCGACGCTGTTTTATGGCGGGGTGGGGCTGAGACCCGGGCCGGCGCCGGCGCCGCGGGGGGCAGGGGGTTGCGGGGGACACGGGACAGCGGGTGTCGCTCGAGCGGCGCGTTGTGCTGTGGCTGTGGCTCTCCCCTCGCTGCGCGCGGCCGGCCCTGCTCGCCGGGGCGGTTTGCGTCTGTACAGAGACGGGTAGGAATCGGCCAAATGAACAGCAGCAACCGACGTGCGGGGCTGGAGAGCCCAGCGCTAGCCCCGAGCCCAGCTCTCGCGTCAGGCTGCGGAGTCAAGCGACGAGTGTCGCTTTCATCCCTAATACTGTACCTTGCAATGTACTGAAGTGCGCTAGGGAGAGACCCGCAAGGCCCTGTGGAGTCAGCGGGGCTCTGCAGCGCTCTACCCTAGCAGAGCCTAGCACCACATTCACGCAGTCCTTGGGGACAGGTTTCAGAGTGGTAGCCGTGTTAGTCTGTATCAGCAAGTGTCCCTGCAGTCTCTCCTCACCCACCTTCTCTCTCTAACATCCTAGGTTCAACACAAACACTGCAAAGTAAAGTCTTTTGTATTCAGGTGCTTATCACAGTTTTCCTCTATGTTCGATGCACATACATAACTCTTCAGGGAGCTGATGAGTTACATGCACCTGTCAAAGAAAACGTTTCCCATAAAAAAATTGAACCGTTATATTTAAAAGAAAAGGTGCACTAATTGATGATAGAGCCTGAAGAAAAGGAGAGATTGATTTAAATCCGAGCAGTTTAAATCACCAATTTCAATCATGGTTTAAATCATCTGTCTTAATTGTGTTTTTGCATTTTAACTTTAGTTATTTTTCTAAAGAAATGTTGATTCTCATGGGTTGGTAACCATTAAAACGTTGATTTACAGCTAAAGATAGCTCTGCGCTAAAATTGGTACTTTATTTTGCTAGCTAGGACAACATGCTACATCTGTACATATGTAAGCAATTATATAGGTTAACATACATTTAATCAAATTCTTATTTTTTCATTTTTCTATTAGAAAATGGTGAATTGCATTTATTAAATTAATTTTTTACTTGTGATTTGTGTTAAGCTGTACTGGGATGAATATTGGAATTCATTTTAAAATGCGCAAAAAAGCAACATCTTATTTTTTAAATTAATTTTTAAAATTGTCTTCAATGTGCTGATTATATAATTTTTTTATTAAAACATGTTTTGCATTTAAGACTGATTTATTAAACAAAGGAAGTAATTAGTAAATTGAGCTGGTTGTGTCTGGTCACTGTTCTTCAAGGTTTTATAAGTAAGGCCTGGTCTACAGTAAAAAATTAGGTCGGTTTAACTACATTAGTCCAGGGGTATGAAAAATCTACATATAGACAGAAAGTCCCCATGTAGACAGTGCTAGGCAATGGAATAATTCTTCTGTCGACCTACCTACCTCCTCTTGGGGCGGTGGATTACCTACATTGATAGTAGAATCTTCCCATCTGTGTAGGTAGTGTCTATGTTTAAATGCTACAGTGGCACAGCTGCAGAGTTTTAAGTGTAGACAAGCCCTAGTAGTTCTCATCTTCTCACACTAAGGGCTTGTCTACACTACCAAGTTTTGTTGACAAAGGTTATGTCGACACCTAAAAGTTGACAAAACAAAAATCACCAAAGGGTGTTCACACTTGCTCCATCTGTCGACAGATCATGTCCACATTGGGGACACAATCATCAATCAACAGGGTGAGCAATGCACCATGGGTATGTATCCCACAGTGCAGCGTTGTGGGAAGGAAGAGCTGATCTCTGCGCATCTTGGGATTCTCTCCTAGTTCTCCCACAGCCCCCTCAGCTGCCGAGAGCAGCATCATGAATAGCTCTGTGAGCTCTCCATGTTAAGGAATGGCAAAGCAGCACAGCAGTCTGTTCCCCTCCACCTGCAGCAGCAGTCTGCCTGCTACTGTGTTCCTACTTCAGGGCAGAACAGGAGCATTCCAATGATTTGCTCTCCTTTTCTGAGCAGCACACAGATAATTCCCGGAGCTTTGAAAGGGGAGGGGTGCATGCCTGCAGGGCAGCAGAGATCAAAACACTGAGCTGAGCAATCAGGGCAGGCATTGTGGGATACTGGCGGAAGCCAGTTCTGTTGACAAAACAATCAGCAGTGTCTACACTGGCTCTTTGTCCATAATAAAGGGAAGGGAAAAGACAAAAGTCTCTCCTGGGGTGGATGTTTTTTGTTGCCAAAACTGGGCTTTTTTCCGTGACAAAAGTCCTGTTGTAGTGTGTACGCTCTTGCTGTTTTGGCGACAAAACTTGGTAGTGTAGACAAGGCCTTAGCTTTTTTCATAGATTGGAAGAGGAACACAAGCTTTCCTGCTTTTTCAGTTCCCAATTAGTTCACTCAAACTTGAGAAACCAGTCATTTAACTGAACTAGTTGAATAAACTGAAAGGAAAATATTCTCTTGGCACCTGCAGAAAAGGATATTTGCTGTCAAAAGCTGGTTTAGCACTTCAGCAAACTCTGGTTCTAGGTGCTTAGCCAATCACTTCCAGCAGTTCAGTAGTTCGACTTTCTTTAAAACTCCGGTAGCAAACATGTACTGCCTAATATTAATTTTATTTAATTTTAAATTAATATAAGATAGTAAGTTTATGCCCTAATATAGATAATCATAGTTTCAAATTTAATTTTAAATACGTTTATTTTTAAAAACAAAAAAATATTAGTTTTTTAAGTCATCGATTTCAAGTAGTTCAAAACAAAAAAACTTCATAAATGTTAGAGTTATGATTACGTGCGGTTCAAGAGAAGATGGACTATTGAACACAGCCATAAAAACTCTGGAATGCACAAGCTAAGGATATATAAACTATTCTGACACCAATCTTTTTTTATCCAGTTCTCTCTTGTGTTATTAACTGAACCATTTTCATTTCTGCTGTCCTGAATCACTTTAAATAAGATGGTGTCAAGTATCAGGGGGTAGCCGTGTTAGTCTGTATCTACAAAAACAACAAGGAGTCTGGTGGCACCTTAAAGACTAACAGATTTATTTGGGCATAAGCTTTCGTGGGTAAAAACCTCACTTCTTCGGATGCATAGAGTTACTTCGCAAGTGGAGAACCACTGTTGACAGGGCCAATTCAATCAGGGTGGATGTAGTCCACTCCCAATAATGGATGAGGAGGTGTCAATTCCAGGAGAGGAAAAGCTTGCGAAGAAACTCCCTGCTCTCCATGTGTCAGTATATAATGCCTGCATCTGTAACTTTCACTCTATGCATCTGAAGAAGTGAGGTTTTTACCCACGAAAGCTTATGCCCAAATAAATCTGTTAGTCTTTAAGGTGCCACCAGACTCCTTGTTGTTT